TCCAATGTAAATGGATGCTTTACTGTATTTCTGGTGCCGAAGCTCGTCCAAGGCCTGTACTGCTCTGATGAGGATGTGCTGGCCAGTGGACATACCGAGTCCTGTATGGCTTGTGTGGCCGCCTGGTCGTTCGCGAAGATGACGCACCGGCCAGGACTGGCTCCTGCTCTGTTGACATCAACCACAGCCTGGAGAGCCAGATCCAGCTGGTGGAGCTCCGCCGCGAATACCGTGGATACGTCCCAGGTGCCCACGTACTGAGTCCGCCTTGCGCTGATGCCGTCGAGCCGGAGCTCAGGGGCGACTGCAGCTGCACCGACGTGGCCGTTAATGCCGCTGCCATCGGTGTAGATACGGATCGTCCCTGATTCCATGGCATCATGCTCTCAAATTGCCTTCGCAGCAGTTTCTGCTATGCGTACGACTGGCGGTGTCCACCAAGGCGGCACGACGTGTGGTTTCCAGTTCTCGAGTTGATTGAGTTGAACACCGAACCTGTCATCCAGAATGGTTGAGGATCGATCGAGAGGGCTCACGGCGTCGCGGAGCCTATCCCCCGTCTCCTGATCACCGACAGTTACAGCCACGTCATTGAAAAGCGGTGTCTTTCTGATGCGCATCGTTGTCTCGATTGCCGTCTTTTCGAGTTGTTGAAGCACCGGCAATAGATGTGCTTCGATGTCGACCGTGCAGCCTGCTGTCGTCTCTAAAGCCCCAGTAATGATTTGCCCAGCGCGACGTTGAACATTTCGAGCAGCGCTGATCACGGAGCTTCCACGACTTGTGCATCCGGTGCCGGGGATAAACCATGCCGAGCATCCGTACAACATCTGCAGCCCGATGATGGTTCTGTACACTTGTCGAAGGTTGATCAGTCCTGTACCCCATGAGGATGATCCTAGGGCCGAAAGAGCAGAGAGTCGGGCGTTGGCTCTGGCTTCCAATTTCTCTCGGTGATGGTCCCATCGCAGCCTAGTGTCCAAATGGACGCCTAAGTACCCGCATGCAGGAGATGCTTTCACCTTGTTGCGAGGCAGGCGAAGAGCATGCGTGATGTTCGCTGTCGGGTCTCTGGTGAAATGAACCAGCTCGTACTTGGCGGGCGCAAACTTCGAGGCATGCTTTGCACCCCATTTTCAGCTTTGCGGTGATGGCTTTTAGAGTTTTGCAATGGTGTGGTGCAAATGGTCTGACTACCAGGATAGCGACGTCATCAGTCAGACAACTTTGTCATACGGTTGTGACGGTTCGGTGTCGACGATTCGGTACCGCTGATTTGTCGAGCCCGTCCTGGCCCTCGTCGGCTTCTAACAAAGCCACTACGCTATGAGCATTTGAATACAGTTCTGTGCCAGGACGACAACTACGGTACTTGCAAAGCCGCTGAATTCTCGGAGAGCCGTGAACATTTTCCAGACGCACCTCTAAAAATAGGAACTGGACGATTTTTGACACATTGATGGCGTAGTTATTGATTACGTGTACAAACTGTCTCAAATAACTAGCTGCGCAACGAATCGAATTGGTGCAAAGAAAAAAAGGCTCACAGCAAGCCAGAAGAGCCACCATATTGTTGCCAAGAAAACAATCCTTGCCAGCCATAGACAGAGAGCAATGCAAATCATTTTCGCAGCCGTTTCGTGTTTTGTATAAGTAGTCATCACTGCAGCCCTCACACCTCTACCGACGGCGGTCACCGGCGCGGATGTGGCGACGGTGCAT